GTTGAAGCTGGCGATCCGCCGGCCGCCAGAAGACAGCGCGAACACGGCGTCCGGCCACAGCCAGGGCCTCAAGGTGCGCACGCTCACGTCCATGAGGCACCGACCAACGTTGCGCACGATCTGCTCCAGGTAGGGCTCGTCCTCCGGCAGCACATCGGACTCCAGGATGGTGCGCACGGAGGCGCGGGCCAGGGTGCGCGTCAGCAGGTCCCTCAGCTTCGCGCCCGTCCCCGCGCCGCGGCCGCGCAGGCCCCGCAGCCCGGCCACCAGCTCAGCCGCCTCCTCCGCGTACACGGCCGTGTACGCGTCCACGACGCTGTGGTGGAAGGCGGGCAGCATGGCGGCGCGGTGCCGCTTCCAGTGCCGGCCGTTGGCGGTGAGCACGCCGCGCCCGCTCACGCTCTCGAGGAAGCCGTAGAAGAAGGCGGGCTTCTCCGCGAAGCGCGGGTCCTTGAGCACGACGGCCACGTGGTCCGGGTCGCTGACCAGCACGAGCAGCTTGGTGCCGAGGGTGATCCTGGACAACTGGTCGTGGCGACCGCCCCACCACTCCAGCACAGCCCGCAGGCGGCCCTCGTCGGCCACGAGCGCCAGGTCGAGTAGATTGCCGACGAGCGGCAAGGAGGGCGGCCCGGGGATGGCCAGCTCGAGGCGCCGAAACCTCCAGCAGCTGCTCCAGTAGCTGGGCAGCGCGAGCGCCAGCCGCCACACCACCAGCATTACCGCGAACACCAAAACGACGTCCATCGCGGCGACGGGGACTGTCAGGACAGCCCTGGCTATATACGTGTGTGCGCTTTTGGTCCTGACTCGACGCAAGTCGGAAAAGAACTGAAGGAGCCGGGGACACAAGAATTATTTGAATATGGCATACAGCAGGTTGGGCGCATATACAGCGTGAGAACCACGATTAAATTGTGTTTGTCTTTTGATATGGTTTTTGCTAATCTGGGAAATTTTAGTGGAAGCCGGTTGGTTGGGCGAGTCAATAGTGTATTTCGACTAACGAAGGAAAAAGAATAGCGGGTAGAACATAAAGGTTCCTGATTGGCCGAGCCCCTACCCCCACTACCGGGCGGGAAGCTCTCGACCAATCTGTTACGTTTATGTTCTACCCGCTGTTCTTCTTCCTCCGTTAGTCGCAATACACTATGCAACGCCGATACCGGTTCACCTAGTTGGTGACGCTGTGATATGTAGATGTAGAATTCTAACTGCTGATGCTGAACCGGGAAATAGTGAAGCTCTGTAACAATTGCCATACGACGGTGCAAAAATACACACGTAAAGTAATTGGTTTATATTTACAAAGCACTTATTTAACTCGTAGAGAACGACTTGGAACACAGTTCGGAAAGGTGGGAAGTCTTCTGAGGATAATGGGAAAACTTTTGAGGTCACCGGGATCAGCGGACTGGGGCAGAAAGAAGATGCGACGCGACGGCACTTCTCTTTCATTCCACGTAGCAAAACGACTCTGTAAGCAAAAGCAAACCAATAATTTCCAAATCGAAAACAAAACTTATTTGCTCGAAAACGCTAAAAAAATGGAGGCACAAAGGGCTACCTTGCGTGACCTGCTGGATCCACCGCATGTAGTGAGTGATCCTGGTGCTGATGACGGGCTTCTCTCCGGGACAGCCCTCGCCGTAGCTGATGATGCCCACGATGTGGAGCGCACCCGTGTTAGGCGACACCCACACCACAGGGCCGCCGTTGTCGCCCTGCATCAAAGTGTAATGTTTCGCTTTAAACTCTGTGATGTGGTCCCCTTTAAATGCAAACATTTTAGCAATTTTTTTTTTTAAATAGAAACCTTTAGTATTCTTAAAGTGGCAGATGTTTCTTTTCTTTACTGGAAATTTTGTTCTTTTTTTTGTTGATAACCAAGATTGTTGTGTTAACAGGGCGTAAATTTGTGGCCTCCTCCCAGCCGCTATATACTGACCGTGCACGGCGAGGCGTCCCCCCTGAAGGCGCAAAGGTGGTTGTCGCCCAGGTCCGCGCCGTACGCCTGCGAGCACGCCGTGTTCTTCACCACCTCCAACCGCGCGGCCTGGAGGCGGATGGTGCTCGGTCCGTCCAGCCGCTGCCCACCCCAGCCTGCGAATCAGAAAAAGTCGAAAAAGTAGTAAAAACAAGAGTGCAGGACACGCTCACGGACCGCTGGCTATTTTGCAGGTATGCTGTATCGCACGCAATCGCGTGGTCGCGGCCGGTTTGCCCACTCGCTGGAGGCCCAAAAGCGCAGGCCAGTGAGGATATTCTCAAGTATAATCTATGGTATGACTTGGAAAGAGTCAACCTCCCGCTGACTCACCAAGGACGACGACGGGCTGGCCGGCGAGGTTGGCCTTCTTCAGGAGGAAGGGCATGCAGGCGGGCTGCACAGTCGGGCCCAGGACGGCCTGCCGCGCGAGGCGCACCACGGCGACGTCAGCGCCCGCCCACGAGCCCCGGTAGTCCGGGTGCACGATAAAGTCGTACACGCGGAGCACCTGCCGGCGGCTGCGCCAGTCGGCTGCAGGGAGGACCAGTCAGGCGTTACTCAAGCGAGAGGGTGTGCAGTGCGGCGGGCGACACGACAGCGGGCGACGACGCGCGCCCCCGTACGAATGCCTTACGCTGAGAACGGTCGTGGTCTCCGACGACCAGGTTGACCAGGGGCTTGTCGACGGCGAGCTCGGCGCAGTGCGCGGCGGTCAGGCCGTACTTGGGGGACAGGATGGCGGCCCCGCACAGTAGGCGCCCCTCCTCGCCGTCCTCCAGGTAGCCGACCAGAGGGTACTCGTGGGGCGCGGGCTCCTGCCCTCCCACAATTCTGGTGGCCTAGAAAGGACATGCCTATCGCATCATGGGAAGTCTTCCGGTATTTTCACACTCGATCAGGCTGCCCCTGAAAATACCTCGGGCTGGCGAACGGCGCAGGTGCAGTTGTCGGGCGGCGGGATGGGGCGCTGCGGCGGCGGCGGCGGAGGTCGTGTCGGCGGCCGTGTAGGAGGCCGTGTTGGTGGCCGTGTCGGTGGCCGTGTCGGTGGTCGTGTCGGCGGGCGGGTCGGCGCCGTCGTCGCGGGCGGAGAGGGGCCAGAGGACGGGTCGGTCAGGGCCGCCACGCTGCACCGGAACCTCCCGCCGCGCGCGTCCGCCCCGATGGAGACGAGCTTCATGTTGAGGCGAGGGCCCGTGGACATGACGGTGAAGCGGCCCGTCCCGCAGTGCGGCTCGCCGTCCCTGTTGACCGGCTGGCCAGACAGCGAGACCCACAGCGCGTCGCCGCACTCGCCGCTCTGGAGGAAGAAATAATTTGCACAGTTTAACACTGTCGAAGATCAAAAAGCGACGGGAAACTATGCTCTCCAAAGTTTTTCGCACCTTTGGTGGCGGCAGGTCAAAGTCGTCGCAGTCCAGGACGACGCGGGCGTTGTCCTCCGTGACGGAGGCGATCCACAGGCAGCTCTCGCCCGCCTGGTAGTTGGCGGGGTAGCCGGGGCTGGTGATCCTGTACGCCCTGCCCGGCTCCAGGCGCTGGTGGTACAGGCACTGGTACTCCGCGGCCACGCCGCCGACCAGGAGGGCCAGCGCCGCCGGGACGATCAGAGACATCCTCCTGCGTCCGAGCGAGGCGCGTCACCGAGTGCGAGTCTGGCCCATCCCCCTCCTCGACTAGAGGGCGCCGTGCCGTACACGTTGCAAGACCTCCCTCCCCCTCCCGAGATATGTATCGGGTAACGTCCATGTTTCGCACGGCCCGTCGCGGCGCCGATAGCCCTTTGCGTGCGAGGGAGACGCGCTGCTCGTGTCGGGCCCGGTCATTATGCAGGACGAAGACAAGGTAACAAAGTCGTTTCGCGACACCTGCGGTCCCGGTCCGGGTCCTTGCTGTCCGGCCGGACACAGCGTCGTGTCGCACACGGCCGATAGCCATTCGGCGAGCGTGCCGGAGCGTAGCCGAGCCGAGCGTAGGGCATTCACTGCGGAGTGGAGTTTCCGCCCTCACCCCTGTACCCAAATGTATTTTACACAGTTCCCAAGACTGTCTCTGCTGGAGAGCAAAGTGCCTCCCCCCCCCTCCTCAATCTTACCCCTCTAGCACGCAGGGGCCAAAGACTACTCGGTTTTCCTTTTTGGATTCGGTACCGAGCAAAAGATGGCGGACACTTCTTACTCACCTCGTTCGGAATACAGGACCCGTGCTTTGTCGCTCCCCCTCCCGCCCGAAAGTCTTCACTGCCGCGGGACTTCCCTGTTGGCCGGTGAAGCGCTAGCTTCCCGGGGTCGTCGCACTGCAGCAAGGAGGGACGGGGACGGGTCTGCACCAACTGGCCTCCGGGTGTCAACTAACTGTCTTTCTATATCGGGCAAACGCACTCTGGGCGCGGCTGCGGGGCGGGGCGGGGCGGGGCGGGGCGCCGGGCGTCGTGCGCAGCGCGGGCATGCCACTTTCCCTCTTACCGCCTCCCTCGCAACCCACCGCTACCGCTCATTCGCCC